AAAGAAAGCTTTACCAAGTCAGGTTATTCTTAAAGTAGGCTCTGCCAAACTATGAAGGGTAAATTATGAATTTGTCTTCATAACCCTTCACCTTTTCTTCCAGCAATCCCCTTTCTCCTTCTTACATGCCTGTTTCTGTTTGTCATTTATTAGAATTTATCTCTTAAGGCCTTTTTGGGGGACATGAGCATGTTTCCTGATCCACTCATCCTATATGGATTTTCTATAGGAAAGACTTGGTTCTCATTTCATAGAAGAACCAGTTCCTTGCTCCATTCCCTGCCGAATGAGCCTCCTGGAACAATAGCACAGAGTCAGAGAGTTCAACACCATTTGGCTTCTTTATGTAAACAAGGAGATATGGTGGACCTGCCCCTCACACTGTGCTTTTGGCCCCATGACTTACGGGCAGGCACAGAGGCTGACTGTTCAGGAGAATTTCTCCACTAGAAATAGGTAGAGAAAAGGGTAGAGTGATGAAGAATAGACGATCTCAGAGGATCAAGTTGTATGCTTCACTTTGAAAGTTGGGTAAAGCATGGTGCCCAGTAACACAACATTTGTGCACATGACACAAGCTACTCTGCTATTTGAGTCCAATGATAGGGGCCTGGTAAGTAAATGGTGGGAGTGCTGGTCAGACCTTGCTTTGTATCCTGGCTCAGCCACTAACAGTGTGACTTAAGCCTCAGTTTTTATCTGTCAAATACTCTGGGCAATAATGTTAACACTTCAGATGGTTGTGAAGATTAACAACACAACATGTGCAAAATGCCAATGCTGAAATGGAGAAATCTCTCCCCAACTGATGGTGTGAAGGTGGTAATGATAATCAAGATTATGTCAATGTAGCCATAATCCCATCAACCGATATATCTAGTCAGATCCAAGACCATGTTATTTTTAAATTCCAACCGTCTTTCCCATTTGCTCCCTTTCTTCTATACTCATGCTGCTACCTGGGTCGGGCTTACATACCTCTTGAATGGTCTTCATGCTTTAATAAGATAGAAGTTTATCTTTTGCTTATAATACAATGTTGGCCTAAGCAGCCCAGGATTTGTCTGGAGTCTGTCTTGATGTTGGGAGCCCCAAATCCTGCTACCTTGTTATATGGACGTCTCTAAGTTGTTGCCCTCGCCAGCATGCCCTAAGACAATTCACCGCCATATTCCCATTCCAGTCAGTGGAAGGGAGGAAAAGGAAAGGGAGGGCATAACCACTCCTTCTAATGGCATGACTCAGGAATTGCACTTATTACTTTTACTCACCCTTCACTGATCAGAACTTGGTCACATGGCCACATCTTACTGCAAAGGAGGCTGGGAAAAGTAGTTTTTATTTTGGCTGCCATGTGTCTAGCTTTGAACCTGATCTGTTACTATAGATGGAGTGAATGGATATGGGGACACCTAGTGTTCTCTGTAGCAGTAAATCCAACCCAGATTTCAATGAAACATTAATTAGTATGATTATTTGATTGATATTTATCCACCCCACTAGACTGTAATCTTTCCAAGAGCAAATTAAAGTCCAAATTAAGCAGCACACTCAGGGACTTGCTTGATGGAGGAGAAGAATATAAAATAGTGCTGGAATTAGGGCATTCATGCAATTTTATGTCAATGCTATTTCTCAGACTTGAACTTTCCATAAGGCTTGGGAAGCAAAGAGTTAAAGGTTATATGCTCTCTTTAGAATCTACAGGGATGGTGTGATATTCTGATTTACAATAAGAAATATATATTTGGTCTCTGTCCCTATTTCTGGTGCAGAACTCCTAAAACCCTTGGAATTTCCTAAGTGATAAGAACAGCAAAGTTTCTTGATTTCCTAATTAAGCACCTTTCAACCACACCGAGATTATGATAATAAGATGACTTGGAGAAGCACTTAAGAATGGGAGGGGAAAGGGTCTTGAGGTCAAATCAACGGCCAATGGCTAATAATTTAACCAATCACACCTGTGTAATGAAGCCTCCATAAAACCCTAAAAGGACAGGGTTCCAGGAGCTTCTAGGATGGTAAACCAGAACACATCTACATATCAGGTCTCAAACTCCACAGGGACAGAAGCTCCTGCATTTGGGACCTCTTGTTATATATCTCTTCATCTGGCTGTTCGTTTGTATCCTTTGTAATAAACCAGTAATCTAGTAAGTAAAGGGTTTTCCTGAGTTCTGTGAGCTATTTTAGCAAATTAATTGAACTTGAAGAGGGGGTTGTAGAACTTCTGATTTACAGCCAGTGGGTCAGAAGCATAGGAGATAGCTTGGGCTTTTGATTGGCATTGGAAGGGGGGGTGCAGTCTTGTGGAACTGAGTTTTAACCTGTGGGAACTGATACTATCTCCATGTAGATAGTGCTGAATCGAGTCATCTGAGATGTTTTGTTAAATTGCTATTTAAGGAAATATCCATGAGTTTTAGTAGCCAGTAAAGATTAATGTTGTATTGATAAATGAGTCAGTATAGTTGAGACTTGGTGAGAATGATGGCCAGCTTACCCACAATCACCCAACATACTACCACCACCTTGCTTACTGTATACTGAATGATATGAATATAAAAAGCATAAAATAATATATTTCATATGGACACACTGAATGAAGCTTTATGAAAAAATGGAAATATGTGAGGGTGGTGGCATTTAGATTTTATTACTATTTTAACATTTTTCTTTAATACTGTTGCTAAGGAAGCTAATTCACAGCACCTGTACCATCACCAAAACATAACCACCACCAATAATTCTGTTAGAGATGCCCTTTTAAAAATACTTAAGACCCATAAGATATAATTTGTAATAGAGAAAAGTAGTGGGGGCTGTTCTAAACATAAGCAAGCATGTGGCCAGTGTGCTGAAGACACATTTTCCTGTATAAGATTCAATTTACAATTCTGAACGCCAAGAGAGGAAGCAATAATTCAAGGCAAAGGAAGTGAAGAGTTTCTATTTCCTTAGTGTTCATGAGCAGGCCTGATATGGACATTACTGCTAATGAGAACAACATGCTTTCAGACAAAGAGCACATGTCAGGTTTCCATGGGCAGATAACCCAGGATCAGCAGAACACTATCAAAGGGGAACTCAGCTGTTTTCCTCTTGGTATAAGTTGGGCATGGCTGCAAGTAGCCTACGTATCCTCTTGACTATAGATCCTCCAATGTACATAACTTCCCATGAATCATCTAGGTTAGGAGCTTCTCTTTCCTAATGTCAGAATCCTCAGCAGGGTTCAATTTTACTCACTTCTCAATTCAAATTCCTGAGCTTTCAAGTTCAACTATTGCCTAAGCTTACTCATATAGGTGTTTAGAGATGCTGAGTGTGCAGAAAAGGAACAAGAAAAACTACTTGGTAATATGGTTGAGGAGAGAAGAGTTTATTTTGGAGAAAGGGAGGAGATTTTGGTGGATGGGTAATTTTGGCCACAGGAGCATGTGAGCATGTTCATGTGAGTGCATATGGGGGTGCAGATAACAGGGGCTCAGAAAAAGTAGAATCATAACATAACTGCCTCCATTGCAATTTCAGAGTGGCAGCCCTGGGTAATCATGTGAACCTGGAAGGCTATAACCTTTAGCTTCCTCCAGTTTAGCCCAGTGTGTCCTGACCAGGCTGATCCATTTCTGACCCTTCCTTTTCTGTTCTGACAGAGGTCTACTCCTCTGGTATTGGAAGGAAGAAGAGCTAAAAAGACAAAGAAGGGGAAAATGCTAGATGGCAGCTTTAGAGCTTATGGGCCATGGCACCTGGGAACCAGACACTCTTTTTGGGACAGAGCTATAGCAGGAAACCCAGCTATAGATGAAGGTGATGGAATGTGGTAACCAGAGTTTGTTGCTAGATGGGCTTCAGGTGCTACTAGAAATGCACCTAGAATGTGGGGTACATGGGAGTGATGGGAACTTGATTCAGGGGGTGATACTCCCATGACATCAATTTCATCAGTATGAGGGGTTGCAAATTCAGATGCCTATAGGGGTCAGATAGAGCAGGCTGGGTGTGAGACAGTGGCGGGGGGAGTGTGCTATTATGGTGAATGGAAGGGCACACACATAATTTAAATTTACTGTGTGGGAATACCAGCCCAATGTGGTCAGATCTTCTGATTTTCCAAGAGAAGGCATAAATTAGGATTTTTATGTAAAAAATGTAATCACAAAATGTTGGCAATTGATTTTAGAGACTAAAAACCCCATGCAGCACGTTATTGTACCCGTCAAACAACACTTGCATATCTCACAGCCTCTGAAACTCTATCAAAAAATGGAACTCATTAGTTTGTGTTCCCCGTTTCAGTGAACGATGCCACTGACTCCCAGGAAACTCAAGCTAGAAAGGTGGGCATAAGCCCTGATTCCTTCCTTTCCTTTACTCTTCACATGCATTAGGTTACCTAACTATGTGGGTTCAACCTTCTGAAATCTTGTACTAGTTACCCCAATCTATGTCCTTCTTCTGTCTTTGTTCAGGTTTTCACAATTTCTTTCCTAGCTAACCCATTTTGAATCCACTAGTGGCCTGTCCGAAATAAAAACTGAAGCAATTGCCTTGTCCCCTCAAATTTCATTTTGACCCGCTACCTGTAGGATAAACTCGATGTGTTTTGGCATGACACACATTTGGTCTCCTCTTCTGACTCCTGTCTACATCTTCAGCCTCATTCTGTCTATGGCTTCCTCCTATTCTGTGCTCCGATACTGAAATGCCTGCAATTCCCCTAAGGGTCATGCTGTTCTGTTCCTCTCTACATTTGCTCTTCCTGCCCCTCTTACCTACAGTGAATGCCCTTGCCTTTTTGTACCAGGGTGTATTCAGTTCTAAGAAACACAAAGCCCAACTCAAACTGGCTGAGATAATAAGGAAGATTTATTGACTTATGTAAGTAGTAGGGCAGACTTCAGAGTTTGTCTGATTCAGTGGCTCAGTGATGTCACAAAGAACCCATATTTCTCCTTTTCCATGTTCTATTGTGTCATCTTCATTCCAAGGCTGACATTACAAGATAGCTGCTGACAATCCCTGGGTTACCTGCTTCCTTGTCCACATCTGAGGTGGAGGTGGTTGTATGGTGGGGAGAGGAACACATGGTTTCCAGAAAGTCTCTCAAAAGAGCAAGGAAACCTCTTTTCTAGAATCCTTCAGTTAGTGTTGCCCTCAGTCTCATTAGCTGATACTGGGTTAAAGTAGCTATGGCCAGAAGATGGATTATATGGTTCAGATTAGGTAGCCTGACCTCACCTTGAGAGGGGTGTGTCATCTTGAGAAGGGTGGAACTGGGTTCTTCAGTAGTACATGGGCTTCATTGGGTACATGTGGATACTCAGTCTGAAACTGAGATGGTTTCCAAAACAGGCAATTAGATGTGAGGAAGGAAATTATCATTCTCAGTAACTTTTTTTTTAAGGCTTGAATTTTTAGAGTTATTTTTTTATTGAGGTATAATTGAATTACATTACTTTAGGTGTATGATATAATGGTTCATATTTGCATATATTGCCAAACTGATCACAGTTTAAGTCTGGTTAGCATCTATCATCATAGTTATAATTTTTTTCTTGTGATGAGAACTTTAAAGACTTACTCTTAGCAACTTCCAAATATGTAATGTAGTAGTATTATTTTTTCCCCCAAATAATAAAAGCTGACCTTTATTGAACATGTGCTATATTCCAGGCATTATACCAGGTACTTTATTTTATTTTATATTTATTTTATTAAATTTAAATTCAAGTTAGTTAACATATAGTGTAGTATTGGTTGCAGGAGTATAATTTAGTGAATCATCACTTACATATAATACCCAGTGCTCATCCCAACAAGTGCCCTCCTTAATGTCATTTAGCCCACCCCCCCACCCACCTCCCCTCCAGCAACCTTCAGTTTATTCTCTATAGTTAAGAGTCTCTTATGGCTTGCCTCCCTCTCTGTTTTTAACTTCTTTTATTTTTCCTTCCCTTTTCCTATATTCATCTGTTTGGTTTCTTAAATTCCATATATGAGTAAAATCATATATTTGTCTTTCTCTGACTTATCTCACTTAGCATAATACACTCTAGTTCCATCCACATCATTGTAAATGACAAGATTTCATTCTTTTTGATGGCTGACTAATATTCCATTGTATATATATATATATATATATATATATATATATATATATATATATACCACATCTTCTTTATCCATTCATCAGTTGATGGTATAATGTAGTATTACTGACTATAGTCATGACTCCGTACATTACATCCCAGGACTTATTTTATAAGTGTAAGTTTATACCTTTTGACTCCTTTCACCTATTTCGCCCACCCCCATCCCCCACCTCTGACAACTATCAATTTGTTCTCTGTATCTATGAGATACAAAAAAAGATATTTAGGAAGGATTCTTTTGGGGGGAGGGTTTACTTTTCTAAATTCCACATTTAAGTGAGATAATATGCTACTTGTCTTTCTCTGTCTGGCTTATTTCACTTAGCATAATACCCTGAAGTTCCACCTACTTTATTACAAATGGCAGGATTTTCTTCTTTTTATGGCTGAAAAAAATATATAAACCATATATACATACCACATCTTCTTTACCTATTGATGCTGCATTGAATATGGGGTGTGCATATCTTTTCAAATTCGTGTTTTCATTTTTTTAAAGATTTTATTTATTTGAGAGAGAGTAAGCATGAGAGAGAGAGTATGCATGAGCATGTGCGAGCATGAGTGGGCTGGGGGGAAGGGCAGAGGGAGAAGCAGGCTCCCCGCTGAGCAGGGAGCCTGATGGGGGGCTTGATCCCAGGACTGTGGGATCATGACCTGAGCCGAAGGCAGATGCTTAATCAACTGAGCCACCCAGATGCCTCTGGGTTTTCCTTTTCTTCAGATAAATACCCAGAAGTGGAATAGCTGGATCATGTGCTAGTTCTATTTTTAATTTTTGGAGGAAACTCCATACTCTTCTCCACAGCAGCTGTGCCAATTGATATTCCCACTGGCAATGCACAAATTTCTCTTTTCTCCACATCTTCGTGAACACTGTTATTCCTAGTCTTTTGGATGGCAACCATTCTAAGAGGTGTGGGGTGGTATCTTGTTATGGTTTGATTTGCATTTTCCTGATGATGAGTGATGCTGAGTATCTGTTCATGTAATCGGTATTTTTAAAAATCTTCCTTTATTTTACTAGTGTTTGTTGAGCACCTACTATGTGTCAGGCACCATTTCTAGGCACTTGAGATTCAAGATTGAACACAACAAAGAACTTGCTTTCACTGAGAACAAGTAGAAATTAAACAAGTAAATTAATATATAAGCAAGATAACTTGAGTTTGAAGGAAGGAGTTTATAGACTAGTAGATTTAGGACCTGTTATGAGTGAGATGTATTGAGGTTCCCTAGGCAGCAGGTTTATGACTCAGTAGGTGTGAGCAGAGTGTTCATTTTGCTGAGTGAGGTTTGATTAGCTATTACCTTGTAGAGCAGGAATGAAGGGATTTTATAGTGAAAGTGTGGGGGTGAAGTTGAGAAGATTTTATATCTAATTTTATCTTTATGTGAAGACAGAAGAGAAGAAAAAAATGAAGTAACTGTCATGAGAAGAAAAAAAGATATTTAGGAAGGATTCTTTTGCGGGGAGGGTTTACTTTATGTTACATAGTAGAGCCTACACCTTTATTTCTTTATTTTTAGAGATTTTATTTATTTTAGAGAGAGAGAGTGTGAACAGGGGGAGGGGCAGATGGAGAGAGAGAATCACAGGCAGACTCTGTGCCAGCATGAGCATGGGGTTTGATCTCACAACCCTGAGATCATGACCTGAGCCGAAGCCAAGAGTCAGACACTTCACCAACTGAGACACTCAGGTGCCCTACCTTTATTTCTTTAAAAAACCTTGGGTAAAGTCTACATTCCATGAACAGGCACTTCACAAAAGAGCACAACTTAATGGTAACATGAAACACAAAAAAGTGCTCTACATCATTAGGAAAATGGAAATTAAAACCTGAAGGAGGCACTACAATACCTCCACCAGAATGGTTAAAATGAAAAGACTGACAATAACAAGTGTTGGGGGGAAGATGTGGAGCAGTTGGAATTTTCCTGTATTGCTGGTGGGAGTGTAAATTGGTAGAACACATTTAAAGCTTACCATGTATCATTATAACCCAGCAATTCTACTCCTGGTTATACACCCAATAAGAAAAAACATTTAGTGTACACCAAAAGACATGTGAAAGAATGTTCATTGCAAACTTATAATCGTCCCAAACTGGAAATAATCCAAATACTCATCAACAGCTGAATGGAAAAATTAATTATAACATATTAATATTATAAATACATATCTGAGTACCTCAGAGCAATAAAAAACTACTTGGAACAATGTAGGTGAATCTCACAGACATAAACATGAGTGAAAGAAGACATACAAGTTACATGAACTTCAAGAATAAACAAATTTAATCTGTCGTGATATATAAGTCAGAATAGGGTTTCTTTTTTGAGGGAGGAAAGAATTAACTAGGGGTGTATGAAGATGCCTTTTGAGGTGTTGAAATTGTTCTGTATTTTGATATGGATAGTGTTTATAAGGGAGAAAAATATATAAAATCTTTTGAGCCATACAATTAAGAATGTGCCCTTTACAATATCTAAGTCATAACAATAAAGTCATTTTTAGAAATTCTACATTACACATCAATACCTTCTTAATTAAATTTGTGTCTGTGCTTTTGATTTGATACTTCTGAGACTAAGCAGATGTAGCCTAATAAGGCAAAGTCACATGTGTGTTTTATACATAATTATAATAAAGTTACCTTTCCAGATTTATCTCTAGCACTTCCCAACGTATACTACATTCCAGCCAAATTGGATTACTCATTCTTCCTTGAACACCTTATCCTTTCCACTTTGTCTTTGCTCATGTTCTCCGTATATTAATTTTTCATAAGTTAAATCACATTTTAAATGAGACAAAAGAGCTTTCTTTTGAATCAAATCTTGTTAGACCTTTTGCAAAATGAAGAATCTCAAAATCTTATTATACCATTTATTTTTTTGAAAAAACTCAGATTTTCATATATTGAGCTTATATAAAATGCAAATCACATGATCCAGAAATATTCACTAATAAAACTAGTAAAAGTTATTAGCAATAATGAAAACAGCTAAAAACATTAATTCTGTGAGGCAGTATAAGGTAGAGGAATGAACATAGTCTTTGATGTCAGATGGATAAGATTTTGATTTGTTTTTGCTACTTGTTAGATGTGAACTCACTTAGGTCAGTTAGGTTCTTTTTGATAAATAGCAGTAGCTTCTAAAAATTAATGGTAGTAATGGTTCTATGTCTCATTTCAACTTTTCTGTCAGTTTGCAAGGATAGCAAGTTTTCAACCAATTTCAGTCACACACATAGAAGCCAGTTACTATGTTGTAAGGACTCCCAAGCAGCTCTGTGGAGAGGGCTATATGGTGAGGAACAGAGGCATCCTACCATAGCCCTGTGAATGAGCCATCTTGGAAAATGCTCCTTCCACTCTGGTCAAGCCTTCAGATAACCGGAGCCCAGGCTGTCCTCTTGACACCAACCTCATGAGAAACTGAGCCAGAACCACCCAGCTAAGCCTCTCTTGGATTCATGCCCCATAGAAAAAATAAACATATATAATGTATTTTAAAGCTGCTAAGTTTTGGGGTCATTTGTTACTCAGTAATAGATAATTAAAACAGCTAGACTAATATTCCACTGAAAAGACATCTAGTAATCTCTTTGGACCATAAATAAGCCTTGGACATTAGAAACAGATTCCTTAACTTTTGGGGAGTCATATTATATATAATATATATATATAATTTTTTAAAAGCCAAATTTTTTTATAATCTCTTTACAATCAACACATTGAAATATATTTCTTAGGAAATTGTTTTTTTATTTAAGTAAATGATTGACTTTAATTTTAATAAATGAGCAAGTTATTTGCAAATGTAAGGTCGATGTAGGTTTAGTTAAACAACTTTTAGGAAGAATTTTAGGGAAAACGTAGTTTTGTTGAATATAAGAAATAAAAACAGTCAAGCATTTATATTGGCTGAGCTTAGGATAATTTTGGCAATCTGAACCTTCTGACATCTTGCGGCAACACAACTCTCGGCTGCAGAAACAGTCCTATAGAGGGAGTGTGGTGTGCCGGTAAAGAGCACAGATGTGGGAGCCAGAGCCCCTGGGTCTGAAGCTCACCAGTGCCACTTACAAATTGTGTAACTTTGGGAAGCTTATTTCACCTTCTTTGCTCTGGTCCCCACCTGTAAAAAATGTATGATATTCAAGGTACCAAATCATCCAGATTTTTGTGAAAATTAAATCAGTTGATGTATGTAAAGCACCCAAGACAGTATGTTGCATGAGTATAAAACATACCATATATTGTAGGCAGATGACCCCCAAAGATGTTCACACCCTAATCATGGGAGCCCATGAATAAGCTATATTATGTGGCAAAAGGGGCTTTGAAGGTATAATCAAGGCGTCAGACCGTAAAATAGAGGAAATTAGCCTGGATTATCCATGTGTGTTCAAACTAATTACACGAGCCGTTAAAAGCAAACAAACTGAGGGTTCTAGAGGGGAGGGGGTGGGGGAATGGGTTAGCCTGGTGATGGGTATTAAAGAGGGCACGTTCTGCATGGAGCACTGGGTGTTATATGCAAACAATGAATCATGGAACACTATATCAAAAACTAATGATGTAATGTATGGTGATTAACATAACATAATAAAATAAAATAAAAAAGAAAACCTGAGCCAAAAAAAAAAAAAAAAAAGCAAAGGACTTTCTCTGGCTGGAGGCAGAAGAGATGCAGAAGAATGAGAGGTCAGAGCATTCTCAAGCATGAGAAGGACTAGTGCTACGGCATTGTTGATCCTGAGAGGTAAGGGCCTCTTCGGATCAACACGTGACCATGTACAAGAACTGGAGAGAGGCCCCTAGAAGCCAAAAGGCAACACTGGCTGACAGCCAGAAAGGAAACAGGGACCTGAATAAACTTGGAAGCAGATTTGCCCCCGGAATTTACAGATGAGAGCACAGGCTGGTTGACAACTTGATTTTAACCTTGTGAGACCAGAGGGAGGGAACAGTTGAGCTCACCAGACTTTTGACTTCCATAATTGAGAGGGGATAAATTTGTGCTACATGAGCAATGGACTTCTTTATATTAAGCAACTGAAATTTGGGGATTGTTTGTAACCACATCCTAGTTTACCACAACTAATATAGCAGTTCTGTAAATATAAATAGTTACAAATTGGGAGAAAAATAATACATGCCCCAAAATGCCATCTACTTTTTTCTTCCTATGAAAACATACCCAGGAAAACAAAAACAAATGAAAATTAAAGTGTGTGGGAAGGGTTCTTGGCAGGAATACATGGAAATCAGTATGTGTCCATCATTTCAATTCTTTAAATATATATTGAACATCTGAAAAAAATGTGTTGGGCAGCACTGGATAGAGAAATACATTGTATAGTCCCTACTCTTTTTTTTTAAATTTTTTTAAACATCTTTTTTTTTTTAAAGATTTTATTTATTTGACAGAGAGAGACATAGCGAGAGGAGGAACACAAGCAGGGGGAGTGGGAGAGGGAGAAGCAGGCTCCCCGCTGAGCAGGGAGCCTGATGCGGGGCTCGATCCCAGGACCCTGGGATCATGACCTGAGCCGAAGGCAGACGCTTAGCGACTGAGCCACCCAGGTGCCCTCTTTTTTTTTTTTTTTTTTTAAAGATCTATTTATTTATTTGAGGGAGAGAGAGTGCATGGAGGGGAAGGGGCAGAAAGAGAGGGAACGAGAGAATCTGAAGTAGACTCCTGGCTGAACATGGAGCCTGAGATCATGACCTGAGCCAAAATCAAGAGATGGACACTTAACTGACTGAGCCACCCAGATGCCCATGTAGTCCCTCCTCTTGATGAGCTTGTGGCCGGTGGGGAGGCATAAAGGCAAGGGTAAATTGACATCTGGGCTATGTTTAGAGATGAGAGTGGCATAAAACCTATAAAGGAGTGTTGGATTTTGTGATACCAATCACTTGTGCTATCAGTATTTAGAGAAGAGAAACTATTCAGGGCTGGTGGTGTTGCAAAGATTCATGGAGAAAAGTACAGAGGTATATACATGAGGAATGAGCTCTTGGCTCCTCCTTGCCATTTCTACTACTCTCTCTTCCCTGTTTTTATTTCTGGGTTTAATACTCATATCATCACAGAATTATGAATTCATAAAAGAACTTAGAGATTATCTAGTTACAGATAAGGAAACAAGTCAAGTGTATAATTATAGCTAACTTCAGTAGGCACATAGTGAAAAATATCAATCATTTGGTGGTCATTAATGTGATAACATAGGGACACATGGGTGGCTGAGTCAGTTAAGCATCCGAATCTTGATCTCAGCTCAGGTCTTGATCTCAGGGTTGTGAGTTCAAGCCCTGCATTGGACTCTATGTTGGGCATGGAGCCCACTTAAAAAAAAAGTGATAATATAATTATATATTAATGATAATGTATTTATTGATTAATAATTATACAAAATTAACTTTATTGTTGATTGGGGGTTTCAGTCCAATAAATCATCAGTTTCTTAAATATTTTCTGTCCCAAAAGATGTGAGGGAGGATGAAGGCGTGTATGTCATGCATTCATGGGCTTGCCTAGTAAACCCCTATACCATTCTTCATTTGACCATGTCAAAACTTCCTATTCTCCTCCAGCCTGACCCAAATTCCTTACTGTGACTCAAAATCACTGGAGGTGCCAGCAGGAAACAAATGGCATTCTGAAACTGACTAATTTGAGGAGAGTTTAATAAGAGGATTATTTACAAAGATATGTGCAAGATTTAAGGAAGCCAATGGAGGAGAGTGTATCCCAGAGGTAGTGACAACAGAGGGGCTATTACCACCTTCATCCTGAAGACACAACAGGGAGGGATGGTTAGCAGAACATCGAGGTTGGGGGGAGGGTAGTTACATGGAGACCTGACCTGGCAGCATCTGTGGGTCTCTGGTACAAGTACGGAGCCAACCTGTGGTATCTGATAGGGAAGGAGCTGTGAAAAAAACACCCAACCTCAATCTTCCTCATGCCCTGATGATCTGTCAAGGTCTCCTACTGGTGAATCCCAACCTGATTTGGAAGCAAGGGTCTTATTAACTTAGTTCATCACCTCAGCCTCCCAAGCTCAGAGGAGGATAAACGCCGGAGGTCAAACAAGATGTCCAGTATACCTTCTCTTGATACAAAGATACTATTCTGAAAAGATTAAGACTTCCTAAGTTTGGATGTTTCAGATTCTTTCTTCAACCCTTTGGATATTGTCTATCCTTTTCTCTTTCATTCTTATCTTGCAGGAAATGTCTTTTTTTTTCAACACTAAAATAATTCCCTTTATCTCACCTTTACTCCCTCTAACATAGTATGAGAGATGAGAAGGTAAATAGTTGCTGCAGAAATTTTCAGTGTTCTTCCAGTAAATCCTAACACTGAAAAAAAAAAAAAAACATGCCAGAGTGTAAAACAGATATCATTATTGGGACAAATTTGGATATATTCTAATTTATCTAAATAGCAAATCATCAGTACACTTTAGTATTCTCACTCTTATCTTAACAAATTATATGTGGTGCTCATCACAAGTGAAAGTGACACAAGACTGAGATTGGTGGCCTCCAACAGTGATTTAGAGGACAGTGATAGTGTCAGGAGACCTGCATTTTAGAGCAGTTGCTAGCCATGTTAGGATAGATCAAAGATCGGTAAGTTGGAGGGGCACCTGAGTGGCTCAGTCATTTCAGCGTCCAACTCTTGGTTTTGGCTCAGGTCATGATCGCAGGGTTACGGGATTGAGCCCTGCGTCTGCTTGTCCCTCTCCCTCTTCTCTCTCTCTCATAAATAAATAAAATCTTAAAAAAAAAAGATCAGTGAGTTGGAGGTAGGGCAATCTGAAGCTACTTTTGTCATCCAGGTGACGGTGATGACGGGGGGGTGAAGTGAGGGGCAGAATATGGAAATTTCAAAGAGGTCCAAGGGTAGACCTAAGGGAGTGAAGAATGGGAGTGAGTGCAGGATGACTCCTGGGTTTGTAGGTTGGGTGGCTGAGTGGGCGGTGTGTTAACTTAGTTATCAGATTGTTGGATGCTTTGAACTATGGGAACAAAAAGCTCAACTAACAGTGGCTTAAGCCAGCATTTCCCAGCCAGTATGCCCAGGGACAATAGTGCACAGCAGGTTGGTTGCAGGTGCTCTGAAATATTGATCTCCTCAGACACTGGGGCAACCAGGTAAGAGCCTGGGGTGGCCTGGACCCCTGGGAGCTACCCATGAACATCCCCAACTGCTTACCCCAGTGTGTCATATAAATATCACTTTTGTATATGTGCTATAAAATGAAAAATTCATTTGACTTAAACAATAAATCATGTAAATTCCAGTTGAAGTTAGATCTAAGATTGATTAATTCAGTAGCAAAACACAGTTGTCAGGAACCCGGATGATCTCCATCTTTACACTCTGCCTTGCTCAGCATGTCAGCTTTCATCTTCAGGCTTGTT